GGAGGAAGGGGAGCCTTGGCCTCACCTGCCCAGCTCAGGTGGGTGGCACAGAATTGGGGTGGCCTGGCAAGGCATGAACATATTTCTGAGTTCTGGAGTGCCTTGAAACCTTTCCCTGTCAGGTTTCTTTCCCTGATTTCCTGGGGTCCAGCATCCCAGGTGTCTCTTCCTTTGTCCAAAGTCCAATGGCAGAGGATTGACTAACTCCCAAGGGGGCTTTGGAATGAAAAGGGTTCTGTTCAGATTGGCCAAGGAATGCAGTAAGAAAGGTGAACCTCCTTTTAATGCCTGAAACAGATAAGAATAAAAACGCTGGAGAAGGTCCCATTTTATTTGGAGTCCCCCCTGGATTTTTCATGGCTAAAACTCTCTAATGAGCAATTGAACAGAAGGGTGAAGGGCAGGAGCCTTTGACTTCCCCAGTGCACTTAATTGTCTTGTTCTCCTCTCTTCCAGGCCAGGACAAAGCCCTGAATCCAGCCCAGCTCTGCCAAGTGCCCTGGGGTGTGAGCAGCCAAAGGCAAGAGGCTGCAGCCCCGCCGGCCGGCGCTGGGGGCTCCTGGTGCTGCCCGTGGGGTGGGGTAAGTCAGAGGGACACGTTTCTCTCCTCCTGCCTGTTGGCATTTGCTCCCTAGGCACTGGATGTGTAAGGAAGGATGGAGTAGCAGGGCAGGGGAGTATTTCCAAACTGTATGAATGTTGCCCCCGGGTTAGGGATGGAGCAGCGATGGGGGTGGTTGGGTTTGGCCTGGGCCGGTCAGGATCAGCCATAAACGACCCACCAGAACCTGAACCCTCACTGGACATGTCCAGCCCCTCAAGCCATTAATTTTCAACAGAGGACAAATGATTGGTACTTCTTCTAATCTGTGGAGAATTTCCTTTGGAATGATCAGCCAGAGAGTGTATCAGTGCAAAGCATCTTTTGGGGTCTTTTTTTTTTGGTTTGTTATTTCCTGTCTGGCTTCAATGAGTTTGGTGTGCTCCTGTTAAGAAAGCAGCATGTTTTTATCTTGAAATTTGGGGTGGTTTGGTTTGTTTAGGGGTTTTCCCCCCACTGACTCGGGTCTTCCGTGCATAGTCCGTGTTGTCCTACAGGACTGCTTTGGTTCTGGCTCAGAGAGAGAGAAGGGAAGTGGCTTTTCCTCATCTTGAATGTTTCCAAGCAGAAGTGGGGCATTGTCCTGCCCCTCCCCAAAGCACTGCAGGCACCTGGGAGTAGCTCAGGGCTTATAATAAGGTTCCATCAAACATGCTGGAAGCCAGCAGGGTCCTGTGGGAGACAAAACACAAACAAAGCCCCCCTTCCCATACTAACAACTTAATATCTACTTGAGGTGTCTGTTTGTGACCCCAGCTCACACATGCCCACCGCGGGAACCTAAATTACCATGGCTCCCAAACTTTCAGGAACTTAAACTCACAGTGATTTTAAGGCTGGCAGCTGCTGTCTCACTGCCCCCACCAGGGCCATAAAAACCCATATCCACTAGCACCCTCAGGGGACAGAGTATCACTGGCCCCACGCAGGTTAATTCAGAAAAGTCACGGCATAACGTACAAAAGAGTCACAACAACTAATTTTTCACAACCATCGTGAAAACAAAGCTTCTTGACTGCATCCCAAGCAGTGCTGCAGTTAATTCTCTAATTGACTTCTCTCTACAAAGCCTGCTCTTAAAAATCCAACCTTTTTGGAAGGCACAGTTGCGTCTGGAAGAGGCCCTGCTCCCTCAAAGGAGAAACCAGCTCCTGGGGGCTGTTGGATTCCACAAATTAGATGCTATTTGCCATGCCAACTTGACGAACACAACCACAAACCCCCTAAAGAGGGCTTTCAACACAATCAGATCCCAAACATAGGCATAAATTAATCAATCAATTCAAAGGTCCAACTTTTTCCTCTCCAAGTCAAATTCAATACTATTCTTAAACTCTTTCTCTAAACCCGACTGTAACATGTGTGCGAAGGGATCCAATTGCCTATGTGCACCCAGCACCTGGTGCTTGCTGACCAAAAACACAAACACACTATATAAACACTTTTTCCTTAATAAAGTTACCAAAACCCAAAGTTATCTCCCTGCTGCCTCAGCTGTTGAGGCTGCGGCCCCCCTCCACCCGGGGGAGGGGGAGGGAAAAGCAGCTAGGAACTGTTTTTACTCCTTTTTTTTTTTCTTGACTCCCTACAGCTGCAGCTGCCCAGCACCCCCCACTAGGAGAGAGGAGGAGGAGGAAAAAAAACGGCCTGGAAAAGTGGCCAGACAGAAGATGCTTTTTATTTTTTTCTTTTTTTTTTTTCTTTCTGCCTGCTGCAGTTTTGTTGCTGGGCTCCTGCCGTCCCCTGTGCTGAAAAATCTGTCTGCCCACATGGAAATCCTTCTCCAAGCTCACCCATGCATCCCTACCCTGTCTGTGCCATGCCCTGCGTGTGCTGCCATACCCACTTCTTCCTCCTAGCTGGACCAGCCTCCCACCCCATGCTTTCACCTCCAACTGCTGCAAGCTGGCAGTGGGATGCTGGGCAGAGGGGCCAGCACACTGCTGTGCCCACAGTGGTGTGGGACAGGGCACATGGAGGTAGTGGTGGCCAGATGACAGGAGCACCCATGTACCAAACAACACCCTCTCCCACTCTGCCCCCCTCTGTGGCTGGTGCAGAGGCTCCCCTGGACACTAGGGCACTGCTGGGGACACTAAAACGTCCTTCCTTCCTTTCCACTGGGACTCTCTAGCTCCTCACATCATCCAGCCCTGTCTTGTGGCAGAGGGTACATAGCACAGTTCATACTGACCCTGGGGGTCTCATCCACACCTCATTCAGTGCTTCCACAGGGAGCAGGGCGGACATCAGGACTCTGGTTCATACCCCTTCAGTCATGGCCTCTTAGAGGCTGTAGCACCAGGCAGGTGATAACAGTGCTTGCAGAAAAGAAACAAGCTCTGGGTCCCTTGGAGGCCACTACAGGTGGCTCTCAGCCAAGAGCATCCTGGGGGCTGGTGGGGGATCCTGAGATCTTGGATTCACTTTTTGGAGGGTGTAAACCATAGATGTGACAGAGTCTCTCAAAAAGTAACTCTTATAACTATGAAATACCTTCCAAAAATGGGAAAAGGCAAAATATATTCCCATTCTTTTGAGGCTAAAGGAAGAAATGGAGACAGTTGGATTAAATAACTACATGCAATTATTTCTCTTCCTTGATTTTTTACAATAACCTCTTGTGGCTGGTGCTTCTACTGAATTGCTAATGGAGACACTGAGTTGTGAACCAGATCAGGCTTTGCTTCTGTATTTCCTGATTCTGCTGTAAATAAGCTCATTAAGCTGTTTGGTGCTTGTTAGATCTTGCTGTTACTGATGAAATAAACAAGATTTTAAGACACGTTTAGTTCTTAGTTTACAAATCTATTTTCTTCTTAAAACCACTCAATAATATTCTGAAACTAAATACCAGAGCAAACATGAAGCAAGGATGTTTTGCTACCAAAATCTGGTGCTTGGTTAGTGGTAGAATTGGTTTCTCCAGAGCTCCACACTTGCATGGCTGCTTTGAGTCCCTGGATCAGGGTGGATGGCTGCCTGCTCCAGGACACTGCAGCATGGAGCATTGTAGGCATGCTGTTCCCAAATCTCTACATGAGTCTGTGTGTCACGAGAGCAGCCCCAGAGAGGGGACTGGGGGAGGTGTTCAGGAGGGCTAATGGGTGAACTAGATACTGGTTCCCCCACAGTGAAACGTTGGAGTGGAAAAGCACTTGCAGAAAGACAGAGCAGTTAGTTTATGAAGCCATTGCACATCTAACAGATGTGTTTTCCATGCTTGCATTTTCTCCTCTTCTCAGGTTCCTGGGCATTCTGATTTTGGGAGGGAACTGTGGGAAGCATACATACATTACCCTCTCTGTGCTGAGCACAAGGCACTAGTGGCACTGTTTATCCATAATACACAGAGTTGCTAAGGCAAAGCATTCCTGAAAAAACAGGAGCCACGAAATATTGCCTTACACACGTGTGCTCCAATGGAACGTGCTCAAGGGACACAGCACAAAGCTTTGTAGTTAGTATGGTAAGAAACATTTCCTATTTTTCAAATACTCACTGTGCTTGTGACTTTTTATCATCAATAACAGTACAAGGTTTTTATAAAGAGTAACTACTGTTTTTTCTGTTCATCTGTTGGATGGAAGAAGTTAGAAGGATGTTGAAGACTGGGTTTAGATCAGATTGATTTTCTACTTTGCCAAAATCAAAGATTGTGAGTTGGTAAATGCTAATTGTTAACTGTAGTGCTGCCGTGACAAATAAGGGGTCTCTTGGCATGTTGCTTTATAGCTGTGGCAGTGTGAGGTTTTAAGTGTGTTTTCTTCTGCCCAGCATCACAACAGACTTTATCTTCATGTTAAATGTGCCAGATTTACAGGCCTCTAAATGGGAGCAGAGTGTGTCAGGGAAAACATATTTGCTACCGGTTTAGGTAGGTGTTTGCACGGAACATAACTTCTAAAAGTACCTTGATTCTTTTATCTCAGACCTTATCATATTACATGAAGGCTCTGCTGGTTGCTGTTAAAGAACAGCATCATGCAGTTCTGGAATATGGGGTCGAAGTATACTGTTGTACTGACATTTACTGTTGCTCTATTTCTGAAAGTTATTTGACTTTCTTTTTCTATGTTAGCCATTTTATAAATGGAGTTAAAGACAAGTTCTTTTTTGCCCTGTGAAATGTAGGATTTGAGAAAATGCAATATTAGAAATAATAATTGAAAGGAGGGTAGCATCTAAATGGAAATTGTATGGATGCCCCGCCCGAGGGGTCCCAGTCCCGGCCCCGCCGCCCCCGCGGGCTCCCCCCGCGCTGCCCCAGCGCTGCCATGCGCGCTGCTCGCGGCGCCACTCAATTTACCTTCCCCCCAGCGCCTCTCACGCGGGAAAAAAGGGTTCCGCCTCCCCGGGCAGCCGCATTCTGACAAGCTTCATGTTTCCGGCCGGTCAAGTTATGGTGGGGACACACGGGCCAGGCCCTCTGACTGCGGCCGCTTTGGGCGTAACCAACCGGGAGGAAAAGCCAGGGGCGTTTTCCGCAAATACGCGAGCGGAAATTAACCTAAACAAGCGAACGGCTCTCAAAGTAACGTTTTTGCCTTTTGTCTCTAATACGGGACTCTGAAACTGTGCCTCCAGCGGCTCCGTCCTTTCAGAAGGAGCGGGAAGGAAGGCGCGGCCGGTGCCCCGCCCCCCGCTCGGGGAGCAGCTGTGGTAGCGCCCGGGCGCGCGGTTCGAAAGGCGCGGGCAGCGCGCGCCGGGTCCGGGTGGTGCTCGCGCCCCCTCAGAGCCGAGTCCGGGTCCGGGGGCTCCGCTCCTCCCTCACAGCCGAGTCCGGGTCCGGGTCTGAGGGCTCCGCTCCCCCCGCACAGCCGAGTCCGGGTCCGGGTCTGAGGGCTCCGCTCCCCCCGCACAGCCGAGTCCGGGTCCGGGTCTGAGGGCTCCGCTCCCCCCGCACAGCCGAGTCCGGGTCCGGGGGCTCCGCTCCTCCCTCACAGCCGAGTCCGGGTCCGGGTCTGAGGGCTCCGCTCCTCCCGCACAGCCGGGTCCGGGTCCGGGTCCGGGTCTGAGGGCTCCGCTCCCCCCGCACAGCCGGGTCCGGGTCGGAGTCCGAATCGGAGTCCGAGTCCGGGTCCGAGTCCTCCTTTCTCCGCTCCCTGAGCGCCGAGTCCTGCCGACCTCTCTCAGAGCCGAGCGGGTATATAGAAATGTGGAATATGTACTGTCAATGTACAAGCATGCGTAAATATACACATTTATGCGATATATCCACACGTGTGATATACGTGCGTATGCTTAGGGTGAGGAGAGGTGTTTTCCTGTTTGTCGAAGTGTTTATCGACTTAAAAATAATTAAGTAATGGGTATTTGTTTTCTGGAGTTAAAGCTCTTTGCGGTCATAACTAGTCTTTGAGTCTTCTGCAGTCTGGCGAAAGCCTTGGGTTCAAGTAGCTGAAGCAGTTTGTGTGTCCTGTTATTGCTGTTAAAAGAGGGGTCAGCAAACCTGGGGTAAAGTTCTGGCTGCTGAAATATTTTTCTTTTTTCCCCGTCGTGCTCTTTATTATGACCATAACTTTCCTCACTGTATCCAGTTAAAATAAAAATCCCCCCAAACTAATAGGGTGCGTTAAAAGTTGAGAACTTCTATTTCTTGCATGTTGGCATTTAATGCATCAAATTGCTTCAAAATGTCAGGGTCAGTCATGATTAGGTACAATCTTGGCGATTCTTTAATTGCATAGTCTTTATTTACTCACGGCGTTTTTGGTGCAAAACATGTTTTAATGTTATTTTCTTATAAGTCTTATTCAGATGCTGTTTCTTATGAAATAAACCAACAAAATCCTATTCCCCCCTCATCCCTTTCTATTGAACAATGTAAGTGTGGATCTTGCAGGTACAATAGGGATGGTTTAAAAACACATGAAGTCAACTTAGGTTTTTTTCCTGGTTGAAAATATTACTCCCTCAGTGTTAAGCTTGCATAATATCCTCTACAGTCCTCTGAATGTGTCAGATCTGGGCTGGATGTCAGGTTATTATTATTTTCCCTGAAAACTGAGGTTTATTTATTTTGAATTATTTGTGAAACGTGGTTTCAGTTTGTGCCTCTTTCCTGGTGTTTAATCAAAAGGCAGATCATGCTGCTGTGTCAGGGACAGCTGTGCCTCATCTCACCAGCTGAGTGTTGGCTGAATTGGTCGCAGCTGGATCCTGGTTTTAAATCTGATTAGGACTGGGTTTTACCTGTAGAGCAGTTTGTTGTTCTATTACAGCAAATTTAAACCAGCTGCATCTGCTCCTGGATCAAGTCATGATTAGTTAAAAAGATCCTTAAAGCCTTTGACCCCATTAGATTCCTCATTTAACTTTGTCTTTGGAGGCTGTGCAGTGATCTGTGTCTTAAAATTATTTTGGCTTTGATTGGATTTAATTAATTCTTTGAGGAATCAATGCAACAAAATTACACTTTTTTTTCAAAGCTAATATGTGTTTTGAAGAAAACTCTCCTTCTTTTTTTTCTTTTTCTGTGTGAAGTCAGAGATTAGTTCTTTGTCCCGTCCCTGCTGATATCTGGGAGCTGCCTGTATTCACGGGTTTGCCGAAGGTACGATTTCTCCTGTTCGTGATGCTTTTAGCTGAGTGAGTGGTGTTTTGTAGGAAGGTTCGTTACATTCAGAATTATGGAACAAGTGACTTTTCTGCTCCTGTAACATCAGCTTGGGTGGACTCTCTGGGGTTTAAGTAGGTGTTAAGTTGATGACAGGGCACTGTAGTGTTAAGGACAGTTTTACTGCAAGCTTTATTCTGTTTTCAAGCTGGCGACAGAACTCCTGTCAAATTTGTTTCCTAAGGATCAAGGTTCAAATATTAGTTTAATCTTCCATAGCAAACAGAATTCTTTACGGAGATATAAATTCCTGTAGGTGTCAGAGCTACCTGGGATGTTTAAAACCGGTATGTACCAGTTTTTCAGTTTTCAAAACTGATAATATCCAATTAATTTGTCTCATTTTAAGGAGAGAGGTAGGAGAAACAATTGCCTAATGTTACATTTGCATTTTTAAAAAATTAATTCTGTGTTTGTTTGTTCCTGAGAAATATAGTTATTTTGTTTTGTGGAGTAACACTGATTCTGAGAAATGGACAACAACGTTTATCAAGTTTATGAAGATGAAATCCAGGCACTGGAAGAAGAAATAAAACTCTTGACAGAAAAGTACGAAGATATCCTGCGAGAATCCACCTTTTTTTCTGAGGAGGAGATATTGAAGTCAATGTATGCCTTTTTTCACACATTGCATTAATGGTATTTCTGTGTCAGAATTGTTTGGGATAAGGAAAGTCCTAACGCAGAGGCAAAAGCTTATTTTTACAGTGCTGATCTTGTTTAGAAAATGGGCTATATAGGAAAAAAATGAAAATACTAAATATCTGATCTATTTTTGCTGTCTTCTGTTGGTGGTTTGTGGATTTTTAGGGTTTTGCTTTCTTTGTCCTTTAAAAGGCAGTCCGAGCACGATGTCAGGGGTGTTACTGTGTGGGCCCTGCAGAGCTGTTGACTGCAAAGGCCACGTTTCCATTGTGCCCTGTCAAACAGCTCAGGGGGTGTTTATTTGGGAAAAAGGGAAAAAAAGAGAGAGGTTGGGGCCATGCAGAGGTGTGACTCGTGATGTGCTAAAGAAGTGCCACGTTGTGGCTTTTAAATTCCATTATTTAACTGATATTTCATAGTAAATATATAATCCATGGATAAAATAAGTCATTTAGATGAGTAAAGGCATCTTAGCTCATTTTTGTTGGATGTTCCTTGAAATGGACACTCGCACCTCCAGACTTGTAATAAAGGCTGTGTCTACCTGGCAGTGAACAGAAAGTGTTTGTGTAAATCTGAGTAGTTTGCTGTTCCCAGCAATATAATCCAACTGAGATTTGACTCCTTGAAAACTGATCTTGATCTGGAAACCATCAGATCACATTTCGGGTGTCTCTTATTTAGTGATTTTACTGTACTGGTGGGACAAAACCCCTTCTTACGTCCAGCTCTTTTGCCCTTTTGATTTTTTTTATTTTTTTCTTTTTCCATTCTAGAAAATCATTCCAAAGAGAAACGCAGGGAGAATCTAAGGGACATGAATCTCCGTCAGACCTGAAAGCTCAGCTTGAAAATCTAGAAACAGATCTGTCCTTTTTGATGAAACTTACTGGTTTTCAGTTCACAAGTCATTCCAAGAAAACAATGGAAAAAAGTAAGGAGTTTTGTACCCTTTTCAGTACTGAGAATATTGGTGCAGTTCATTACATCTGCAAACCTGTGTTGTAATTCTACTTCCAGTGTTAGCAGAGAGACAATTATTTTGAAATACAATGAGATTTTCTTTATTGACAAAACAGTTTGAGTAAATATTGTGCTTTGCGTAGTGGGAAAGTGACGGACTCCTGGGAAACCTGTTGTGTTTCTTTTAACATGTGTAATTCTTTATATGATGGCTGGTATCAGTTGGGAAGAAATGCAGCAATTGTTGAGTAGAATCGTAATTGATTGTTTTGTTAACTGTTGTTTTATAACAGCTAGAGACAGAACAGTGCAGAAGCACAGGTTGTCCGGGAATTGTCACTCCCTGTCTTTTCAACTGGAATTCCAGCTTCTTGAAGTGCAAGTAAGGATCAGTGTATATTTAAAAAAAAAAAAAGGCAACTACCAAGCAAAAAAAACAAAACTTCAAATGGACAAATGTCAGTGCTGGGGTTTTTTTAGAGTTAACGTGATTGAACCGATAGTATAGATTGGACTGACAGTAAACTGCCTTGTTATGTAAAGATGCCATTCCTAATCTTAAGAAAAGCCATATTATGAATTTGGAAATTGAGTATTTAATAGTCACACGTGGATTGCATCGCTTGAAACTGCAGGACTTCAGCTGACAGAGGTTGTTCTTCAGCCTCTGAAGTCCATATGTGACTTGAAACTTGCAGTCCTTGAGATGCCACTTTACCATTTGCTTGTATAAAACTTAGCTTTGAGCATAGAAACATCCTGCACCAGTCATGAGGCCCGGTGAGATGTTTGTTCCTCTCTCAGCTGCGTCTCCTGCAGGACGATGACATCTTGTGGTGTCGGTGGAGCTCAGAGGAGGAATAGGGTGTTAAATTTCCTGATAACGGCGTTGGTGATGCTTAAAGCCATTGCACCACCGTGTGGCAGCACTCGGCTGCCTAATGCCTGCAGTTGGGGCTACTTGAGCGCTGAGATCACCAGAGGGAGATGGGCAATACCAGGTGTAGAGATATTGTTTAAAACCCACTTGAAAAAGTATAATTTTGAGTTAATTTTTTGATGAATTGTTTTTCTTTTGTACAAGTACATGGCCAGCTCTGACTTACCCCCTCTGCATTGCATATTAAGTTGTATCAGTTTACCTGAAGTTTGGATTGCCACTGTTTTGTGCATTTGTGTGGTGTGGGTGATGGAAATGTTGTGGAAAATGGTAAATTGCTTCAGCAGGCACCAATGAAGAGTACAGTTTTTAACTGGGCCACAATACACAAGTTTGGGGGTTTATTTTTGGTGTTATGTAGCCAAGTCAAGAAGGGCACTTTCTGTCCCTTCATTTGAGTTCTTGTGATTGCAGATGAACTTGAATGTGATGGAAGTTTTACCATTGACTGAATTATCCTGGCACAGGTTGCCCAGAGAAGCTGTGGCTGCTCCATCCCTGGAAGTGTTCCAGGCCAGGTTGGACAGGGCTTGGAGCAACCTGGGCTAGTGGAAGGTGTCCCTGCCCACAGCAGGGTGTTGGAACCAGATGATCTTTCAGGTCCCTTCCAACCCAAACTATTCTGAGACTCTATCATAGTGTGTTCTAGCTGTTGAACAAATTATAACAGAATGGTTTGCTTAGAGTTGCAAAAGACTACCATTGTGCCCAATTCTGTATTTTCATTTGGTTAGGAATCTTTAAACCAAATAGATTCTGATAGAATTAAAAAATTTAAGCTTAAGGATGCTATTTTTAAGGTGTGCCTTTTTGTAATTTATATGATAAAAAATTACTCTTTTCCATTCCTTTATAGTGCAAAAGCTTATCTCATGATTAGGTTGCCGACAACTGCAATCAGAGATTTTGCCTAGTTCCAGCTGGCTGTTCCTGTGGTGTAAAAGGAATGGCACCGTGGTTGTGCCACAGCCTTCATACGCTGTGCAGGTCACCCTGCAGTGAAGTCAGTACATCCTGAGGATGCAGGAGTCCACCTCCATAACTTTCAGGAAAACTGTGACTTCAGGCCAGATTAAGACCTGGTGGTTCAGCTTTAATTTTTTTGTACCTCTGGCTTCTTGCATATAAAAGAAGCCTGTTTTGTAAGAGGTGGCATTAACACGGTATTCAGAATAACCTGCCCTGACATCAGCACGAGCAAGGTAGTGCACAGGTGTTACCTGTGGTGAGAAATAGAAGGTGACAGCTGGTTTTGGGAAGTGCCCAGCAGGTAACAGATACCTTGGTTTGCAGCAGAAGGTCAAGAACAGTTTTTTTCACACAGTTAGCTGTAGCTGTTTGTTCTGGTAGTGAAGTTACAGTACAGTTAACTCAGCTCCATAGGATTAGGAGAAGACACGAACAATGAGCTTGAAAATGTGCCAGAACAAGTGTAAGCCTCTTGAGGAAGCAATGATTCAGGAAGAGTTGCTTTCTTGGCAAGAGCTTTCCTTTTAAACCTTTTTGTTTGGCCCCAAGGTGACATTTTGGTGTGCTAGTGACCCACTCCTTGGGAATCCAGTTCCTCCCGAAGGCAGCACATCAGCTGGTGGCTGCTGGCAGCTTCTCTGCCACTCCCTGCACGTGCTGAACCTTCTGCTCTAACCCTAAAATGATTTTTCCTAGTGTTACTTAGTCAATCCACTAATCTTTGTAGTGCCTTGGTTTGCTTTTCCCATCTTTAGTGCTGGCAGTGTTGGCAGCACTGCTGTCCAGCCAGTGCAGATTGCTGAGATCTGTGTGCTTTTAACTCCAGCTTGGCTGGTTTCCTCTGTTGCCATTCCCATTTGCTTGTAGTGACTGGGGTATAAGAAAAAAAAAGTAGCAAGTCTCCAGTTTCAAGTGAAGCATTTGCTGTGTTCTTCAAACCCTGATTTTAAGCTTTTTCATTGACTGTTATCTAATCCATTACTCTGGTGTGTTCAAGAATGCACAGAAAAACAACATTGATTTCATTTGTGGCTTTATTTCTATCCTCTGACCTTCTTTTGTCCCTTTTAACAGGTTGTCAGATATTTTAATGTAGAATAATTTTGGTCTTATTATTATGCACACATTCCTGAGTAGCAGTTATTATTGTAAAAAGGGACAGGAATTTGAGGCAAAACTATAGGCTTTAAAATAAAATAATACAAAGGAAAACTGACAGATCAAACCTTATATTTGATTTTTCTGTTATATGTGGCAGCTAGGGGTTGTGTTGGAAAATGAGAAGAATCTTTAAGAAGTAGACTTGACGTGAAAGGAAGTAGATGAACATTCTTTTATACGTATATATTCTCTATGCTGACAAGTTCAGGTGTTATTCCAAAAGCCTTGTTGTGTGGATAATACTGCTACTGTTGAAATGAAGGAAACTGTCCACACACACAAGCTGTAGTTAAAAAAAATGCTATTTTAAGAATTGTAGCACTTGGAAAAAAGTATATGCAAATGCTTCTACTTTATATGCAAATAGACATATATTTTTCTCCTTGCTAGAGGAATTTCTAAAATACTGTGTTGTTACTTCTCCAACCTAGAGCAAAGAGAAGGTGTCTTCTGTTATTACTGATCTCAACATTATAATGGAATCTGGAGAAGATTCTGGTATAAGCAAGTTTGTGTCAAGGTAAGCTGGAATTGTTTGCTCAAGGGAAGTCCTTGTGTGGGATATTAAATGCAGTACTGAGTTTTCCTGTACATTTGTGTCTTTGCTATGCCATGTACCCTTAGCCCAGCCTGAACCCTTCCAGTCCCTTGTCTGTATCCTGGAGAGAAGATGAAATGCATATAATTTGTTAAGGCCTGAAAAGATTTTAAATTCATATTAAACAGAAAGAGGTTTTGGATTCTAATATGTTTTATAGCTGTTGGAAATTGTTTGGTTCAGGGAAAGGTATAACAATGTAATCTCAGCTATTGCATTTTAATGTTGTGTGAGCTGTTACTCAGATCTGTCTGTGAGCTGCAGATGTGCAGTGTGGGTGAGTAATCAAGTGCATATCCAGAACCCCTCTCTAGTATTTGCCTGTTTCTGGTTCTCTCAGCTCACCAGTCCATTTCTCTTTGTATCAGGATTTATTTCACTGATATTTGAAAACCATAGAATGTAGTTTAAAAACCCGGAATGGAGTATTTGTGCAATAGCTGAAGAAAATTTACATGCTAAAACTTAAGCTTATGAATGAATGTTATTTTTTCATTATTTTCTGGAGTATATCAACTTCTTGTGGTAACATGAGTAATGATCAAATTACTTGTGTGCAGTATTCCACTGAATTCTGCTAGCAAGCTCTTCTGGGAACAAATCTATTATTACTGGCTAATTGACTTCCTCCTGTTCTTGAAGTGATTTCTTTTGTTTTATGTTATTTTTTGAGGAGGGAGAGGGAAGGCCAAAAGAGTGAAGAGAAGGGTCTGTTGAGTTACCTCAGGCTTCAGTAGTCTGTTCTGAAAAGTGAATTTTTTTACTCAGAGACTTGGAAATTTCCATATGAACCTACTAAAGGTAGTGAGTGGTATAACTGAGAAGAGTAGCTGACTGCTCTCAGGGATTTAGAAGAGGGAATTGCCCTGGTTTATTTATGAGTTTTTTGTGACAGCAGAAGTGTATTGGAACTTAACAGTCACACTGGGAAGGAATGTGTTGCAGTGGTGGCAGACTTTACTTCATCCTGGCTGGAGCTCTGCTGTCCTGTCCCTGTCCCTTCACCACCCTGGTCCTTTTCCACATTGCACCAGCATTCATGAGGGCACACAAGTTTCCAGGAATGATAAAAGATGTCAGTAAATCGAGAAGTACTTTCTCCCGAGCCTCTCCTTGCACATCCCACCTTGTGTCTGTCGACTCTTGAAGCCCCGTGGCCAACGGGATCAACGGGGTCACTTGGTTGAAAAAGGAGCTGGAGGGTGGGGAGTGACCCAACCTTGTCCCCCCACAACTCCTTCAACACTCAGTTTTCCTATTTGACTTGTCCTGCAACGTCACAGTGTCTGTTGCCAACCTAAGGCAGTAAATAGGTGGGGCTGATGCTGACAGGGCCTGCTTTGACAGCACCCCACTGTTCCATGGGCTGGTTCTGCCTGGCATCTCCCTTTATGGCCATTTTCTCACTCCCCTTGCTTGTTCTTGTTTCAGTTGTAATCCCCTCATGTCCAGTTTCAGGCTTTTCCCAGCTCACCCTTAGAACCAGCTGCTCTTAGAATCCTGATTCCTACCTCTTCCCTCCCTTTCCCTCCATTCTTGACCAGCTAAATCTGGTCTCCCTCTGTATTGTTCCTTCTTTTCAGCCTCCCTCCCGCTTTGTTTTTCTTCTTTTGCTTCCTCAGCCCTGTCTTGCCAAATCCATTGTCTAGCTCTGTTCTGTTTTGTCTCCTGGCCTGGATTTTTTTCCTTCTCAGTTTTATAATTTTTTTTGGCTTCATTTTTTTTCATAATGCGTGAGAGAAAAGGGTCTTTAAGAGCACCAGAGTTAAAAACTTGGCATTCAGTTGTAATTCCCAGGCCCTTCCTGCTTTGGAAGAAAACAAGGGAATGCTAGAACACTTCTTAAAGGAAGCAAAATTCAGCAGTCTGATTTCAACCAGGTATAAACAGTACATCTATATATAAAAATGGCACATCTTCTATTTTTACATAATTTCTTTAAAATTTTTGTGGCAATAAGAGATGTATGCAAATGGAATCACAACATCTAGTTGTCTAGTTTTGGATTTTACTTGTGTCCCCTTTCACCAGTTATCACTTATGTTACACTTTATTTTTGAGAACTACAATATGTAAGAAAACTATTGTTAGTCATTTTTTTCCTATGTTTTTTTGGACTTGGCAGCCCGTTAATTGTTGGGTGAGTTAATCTTTGCACGGATTCGTTAGTCAAATAGGGCTTTTTAGGCAGTATGAAAACTGCTCCTTCTTTTTAGTTAGACCCTAAGTCAGAGTGAAGGATTTGGGAAATGTCTGCACTGTATTAAATGCTGCGTGGGCAAGGTATCTGGGAAATAAAGGGAAGCAGGAATTCTTGCCACAGCTTTGAGTCTTGCCTTGGTTTTATGTGTTAGTGCAGGAAGTCTTGCATTCTTCAGCAGGTTAAAATAGATTTCCTCTCTTAAAATAGTTGAAGGAACATATTAAAGGAGGCTTAAATACTTTTAGAACAGTTAAATGTCTTGTGTGCTTTTGTGTTTAGTTGGTGATACTTTGTGAAAGTGAAAGGGTGTTTGGAGGAAGGGCCTGTGATTTTAAACTGATACAGGTACTCTCTGCCTGAATATGCTTTTAGGTGGTTTTGGATGACTTCTCTGTAACATGGATGTTGGTGTTGGAAATGGGTGTTTTCTGCTCCTACTGGATTTTTTTTTAAATCTGATGACACTTTGTAATGCTAAATTCTTTGGAAAAAAAGTCTTTAACGTCCATTCTATTAGCACTTTATTATTTTATACCTCATTTTCTTGGTATTTAGCATTTGTTGTAGTTGAATTCAGCATGAGAAATTCGGCTTGAGAAAGGTCAAGTCATGGACTTGAAGATTTGCAAATCTGCCAGAAGAGCATATTAGCTCTGAACATTTCTCTT